GTTAATATGGACAGAACCAACAGGCAGCGTATGACAACTCTGGGAGCATATAGATGATAAACCAATGAAACTGGTTTGAAACTGTCACCCTTAAAACAAGTTGTCGAAGGCAAGACGCCCACAAAGCTCCATCAACTGTATGAAGATGTGGCTGTGCTAAAAGGCAGCACCTTCTGCTCTGACCATTTTAAGCTAATATACAAAGAAAATTGGAAATCATGTGCTGCTAGGATGCATGGATTTTGTTATTGTACAATAAAACGGCATTCTGAAGTACGCTTTTAAGAGGAGACTTGGTGACCTTCACCGCACTTTCCTGAACTCACTCTTTGTGACAGGGATTCTAAAGCTTCTCTGTAGTTCTTGCCGGTTCTCGGAACTAAGGTAGGTCTGAGCAAAGAGAAGGAAGCTGTGGCGAGGTCGGGAGGATGACTGAGACCTGGTGCTGTTCCTGGAATTATGAGCTCTTTTCCCTCTCACTGTTCATCTGTTCTGTACCACTCAGCTGTTCTCTGTTGCACAGGAATAAAAGTTTAGTTTAAAAAGTATGTTAGAACAAAGCTTCAGAAATTGCCTGGAATTTCCTTCATTTTCAGCCATCTGGCTTTCATTGCTTACTTCATTCCCCTCCTTCACATACATTTACCAAATCTTTTCAACACACACTGGCCAGGCTATCAAATGTTTATAATTAATAACAGTCATACACGTTTTAGAGATACTGCTCTCTGGTTTCCCTTGGGCTGTTCATGTCACTGCTGCTATAAACCAGGGAGATAGTGAACTTATTTTTAAGATTTAGTTGGTCCCAGCACTGAAAAAGTGAGTCGAGTAAAAACAAAATCTAATCCAATTCTATTTCTTTTAAAGTGGAAGTATTTCTCATCAAGAAATTAAAGGAAAGAAGACAATGTTTTTTTTTCTGAGTGAAGACTCTGACCCAGTTGTAGCGATGACTAAAATCATAATCCAGAAAGGTGTATGGCCTCTGGAAGGCTTGACAGCTGAAAGCGACAGAACAGGGCTTGATCCCAAGTTTGTCTTCTAGCTCTTTAATATTGAGAGTCCTATGGCTATAAAGGATCTTCAGTGCATATCATGAAGTGAAAATCAAGTTACCAAACAATACATATGCAATAAGATCTCATTTATAAATATAGGAGGAAAAGCCCTTACATGGCTGCATATGTTCACGTATGCATATCAGCTGTGGAAGACAGTCTGTGATCCCAGGAATGAAGGGGCCGGAGGTGCAGAGCATGGTGAGCAAAGGCAGCACACGCCTTTCTGTGTTTACAATTTCTTCTGTGCTTGAGTTTAAAGCATGGGCTCTTCATGACTTAGTTACACAGTTAGAGCACTTAGAAAACGTTCTTATTGGGAATGCGAGGCTGACTTGTTTCCCAGTGACGAAATTAACAACTTCTTTTTGGATATTTCTCCCCTGAGCTGGCCTAACTCGCCTGTGAAGGGTTAGCAGGGTGCTGGGACTTCTAAATACAAATTACCAGCCCGGGGGGTAAAGATGCATGAAAACACTTTTCTTCCTCGTAATGCTGCTTTTATCGTTATCAGCTTTGAAGGAAATCTCTCGCGGGTAAACCACAGCGAAAGTTGTGCTAATTTCTGCGGCCAGTTTTAGGGAAGGTTACGGGCGGATTAACGTCTGCCTTCCACACATTACTTTCCACCCTTCCTTACCATCACGCTCTTTCCCAGAGTGCTAACAATTTAGTCCTCTTCCGTTTGCCCCTCTCCTCCACCACAGCTTGCCCTTGCTTTTTTACTTCAGGGCTACGTTGCTGTACACAGCTGATAATTCAAGGGGTGTGAGCCTACATGTTACTTTATATTTGCATTTCAACTTTGTGTCTAGATCCTTCAGTGTAAGGAAAGGAATCCAATAATGGCATTTTCAGCATAATGTGGAAGATGAGCGAGAGGAGATAAAGGGGATGGAGAGGACAGAGAGCACCGAGGTCTTCCAGCTGTCATTAATAACATGGTCTAAACGGCTACTTATAAATATGGCCCAGCCCTTCAGATGCATTTAAATAAATACTTCATAAGCATCTGCAACATGTTAATGCCTAGATGCTGGGAATATGGAAAGGAGGATTAAGACGTAAAGTTGCAAGTGGGGACTGTAAATTTTAGCCTCTTCAGTGGAGAATGCCCTAAACATGTAAGCCTTATACACATGCCTACGCACATATATACACACATGTTGGAGAAAAGTAGAATGACTCCAGCTTGAGGACACACCCTTCTTGTTTGAATCACCAGGTAGAAGAATGTAACTGCTTAAACCTGACGAAAGTCAAACGTGTATTTCTAACACAAGTGCTGCTTTGTGCAGCGTAAGTGAGAAGAAGTCTAACCTTAGAGAGACTGCTCCCAAAGACAGGACGCGTCCTGCAGGGCGCCTGGACGCTCCGTGTGGTCAGATAACTCTGAGCACGTGCCGGGAGAGGGGTCTTCCTCGCTGGTGCTCAGCAGGACTGATAACGGCCTGGGAAGGTGACTCCTCTCAACCAGGGCTGCCTCTCAGAGCCAAGACCCAAGAACGGCAGCATTTTGATGTCTCACGGAAAGCTTTCTTTTTCCCTTTTCTTAAAACACACGGATGTCAGCATACACAAGAGCCCAAAAGACCACATATGGAAATTTGGGTCCATCAGAAGAAACCAAAGTGCCCAGACAACACTGCACCATACGGAACAAGAAATGTGAACTGAAGATCCGAATGACTCCCATCTGGACCCAAGATGCACAGGAAAAACACACCCTACTGTGCCCTGACCAAACACAGTTCCCCTTTGGTGTGTATCTTACACCAAGCAGAGGAGAAAGAGACGTCCCTGATGCTGTCCTACAGAAGCACTGCTCTACACCTCCCATTTTTAAGATGAAAATCTACTCTGGCTCTTGGTTGGATGATGAGGAGAGTGAGTCATAGCAGGCCACGCATTTTGACCCTGTATTGTTCTAATTAGCATCATTCTCCAAGTGCTCAGCAGTGCATGCTGACCCAAGAGATCTTTGGCTATGAGAAGGTTTGCCTGTGAATCTGACTGTCGGCTGCTGCGAAATCAAAGAACCAAAATTCTCTGGAGCAAATGCAATACTGTGAACTCAATATGGTCTTTGTCTATAGGTCAATAAAAAGTGTCACACAATGAACGAAGGTTACCTAATTTAACCTTAGTTATGCTTTGAGGATGGGAAAGAACACCTCACGTTGTATTCACTTTGCTGCTCAAGGAAGGAGTAGATTCCACAAACCCCAGCAGTTTTCAGCCAGTCCCAGGTCCTGGAAGCACTGCCTCACTCATCATAACATTTCCATGTTACTAGAAAGTGGGCATGTGTTAGAAAGACCCTTAGGCCCGTTTTTCAGGTGATAGTAATGAGCAGAACATAAATGAAACAGGTATGAGCATGAAGAATCAGGAGCAGCTGTCTGATGCTCCTGTGTAAAGATTAACAGAAAATCACGGGATATTTGAGAAGGAAATTGTGACCTCCGATGATCTTGTACACAATCAGCCCATTTTGCTGGTGTGGAAATAGAATTGTCAGCTTGCCAAAGGCTACACTGCCAGCTGGTAACAGAGGTGGGATGAGAAGACAGACCTCTCAACCTCCTAGACAAGGGCCTTGCCAGCTGTCCCTGCAGAATGCACTCTGCTTCTTGTATATGAGTTCATCTTCAATAAATGAATGGAAAAGTTTGTGTCCTTTGCCCATGCATTTAGGTTTCAGGCTAAGCTGGAGAGCTGTGAGTTCAGGACCAGGTAGGTCAGGGATAGAAGAGAAAGCTACTTCGGGTTTCATGCACTGGATTCAAACTCTGCTTGCTCTAGCTCTTCCTGACTCTCCTTACTGGCTGCTGTTTTTATGGGTGGGGTGTGACTCCACGCAGTGGCTGATTTCTGATTGCCGTGGAGAATGTGGCACTAGTGGTCTCCTCCACTCCTATGTTTGAAGGAGAAGAGTCCAGGTTCACCATTCAAATCAATATGGGAGCAGCTTTTCTGGCCAGCAGAAGCCTCACTCTGGGACTGTGTCAGCATTTGGTTGAAAAAGGCCTGTTGTCTACCTTCTCGGAGCCCCGGTTGAGGAAATCTAGCTGGCTGAGATGGTTTGACCAGCATACGGCTGTGCATGCCTGACAGCAACACACTGCTTCTCATACGGTACGCCTTGGAGAAAGAGAAGCATCATTCAGAAACTGCATTCCTTTTGTACCTAGTACACAGCCTTAACCAGACACATTCTTCAACCCACCCGCAGATTTGAAAGTCTGGCTTTGGTTCTTTAAGAATCTCCCTTCCAAGCTAGAATCATATATGATTTGCTCAAAAAAGAAGAATCTAAAAGGCAAAAATTGCTTGAGACACCATAAAATTGTGTGGACTGAAGTAGTGATTTAGACCCAAGGTTGGGCAATAATGAGACCCAGGCAGGGTTGAACAATGAAATGCTCTAACTGATTTTACGCATGTAGAGTGATACACATGAACCCTAGAGCATGCTATAATGAATCTGCATGCTGTGTGCATACAGATTTCACAGTGGGTCACTTATACCACCCAGAGGCTTCAGTTCTTTATACCCTGTAATTCCTAGGCCAATTCATTATTATGGTGCAAAGGCTTGGGACGCAGGTTAAAAGGTGGCCGAGATCATGACGCCTGTGGTCAGTTCTTTTTCTTCTAGTGAAAAGCAGCAGAGTAGCACGTGTACATACCAGCTATGCCACATGGCTCACTTCAGTGCATGGAGTCTTCTGGACTGTGTGCATGACCATTGATTGGGCTGGAATTCCAAAGCTCTGGTTTCAATTAAATTTAAGTGAATTTGACTAAAAGTTTGAAATGATGCTAATTGGTTTTCAAAACATTGGGTAAAAATAAGTGTTCCAGTCTTGCCCATGGAAAGAAGCACCCAGTTCTGCCCATGCTCCTGGCAGGCAGGGCAGGCAAAGCATGCCTTACCTTCCTGGGCACGGATCCAAGTTGCATGGCTTCAGACGCTGTGGGGGACGGCGGCTGGTCACGCACAGGCTTGAATCAGCATGCTCCCGAGTCTCTTTGTTCAGACAGCTCACCACAGCCTCCTGGACACCTGTGTACAAATCACGCTGTCAGGCCAGAGTGCAGAGTGGGCCTGTGTGGGGGTGATGAAGTGTAGACAAGGCAGCTGGTGGGAGGTCTCTGTGACTGGTGGGACTCTTGCTCCATGTGAAAGGCGGCAGTTTAAAGCCTAGGACTGCCAATCTTGTCAAGAATCACTCAGTTTAGGAGTGGGGTTTGCTGCTCAGTGGTGGAGAACTTGTTTAGCATGTAGGAGGCTTTGGGCTCAATCCCCAGCACACTGCAGACATACACACGCACAGGCATGCACACACACATACACACACACACACACACACACACACAAAACCATCACTTGGAAAAGCGGCACCTGTGAGTGTGTGGCCTCTGTAGCCATGCCCCTTGAGGAGAGAGATTCCCTCAAAGACAGGCTTCCACCAGTACTGTTGAGATGCTTTTTTAAAATGCGACCAAACAAGCAGGGTGTGGTGGTGCACACCTGTAATTCCAGCACTTGGGAGGCTAAAGCAGGAGGTCTGCAGCAAGTTTAAGGCAAGCCTGGGCTACATCATGAGTTCAAAGCCAGCCTTATATTCATAGCAAGACCCCATCCGCTGTCAACCCCCCAAATGCTACCAAATTATATAGCCCCTGCTGCTGAAATTTAATAATTTAGGGTAGAAGGAACACAAAGTGAACTGCAGCAAAAATAATTACAACAGCACAAGCACAAAACACAGAGCCCCAAGATGTTCTTCCACTATGTTTCACTATATTTTAATCAGCAGGACTTTGTTGTATTAGGAAAACAGGCCCAGCCAGGTTTTAATATCAGCATTCTACACACGGCCGAGCTCCTGAGCTTTGCACCCGGTCCTCTGATGTCAGCTACTTCCCTTCTGACTGTGGCTCACTTCTCTGGTGACGTAGAGCAGCTTTGGAAGGTGGAGGGAAGAGAATAAGATGCATAATAACTATAACCACGCACAATCTTCCACTGGCTCTGTGAAACAGGTCATTCAACAGTTACTTCACAGTAACTGCAGGGTTGTTTGGCAGATTTTTTGAGGTGATTTGCAGGACCCTTTGTGGAGACTTCATGGAGTAGGGAAACACTGAAATGGGCCGTCCATTCACCAGCCCTTTCACTCTGTTGTCTACAGTCATAATAATAAGAGCTAACCCCTACAGTGTGTCTATTACTAGGCGCGTGCCATGCCTCAGACTCAGCATACATCACTTAGTTTCTTCAACAGCTCCATAGGACAAGCGCCATGTTTAGCCTTACTTTACAGAAATGGAAACTGAGGCTCACAAAGGAGAAAAGACCTCCCTCAGGTCATACAGTTGCTAACTGTGAAGTGGAGGGTGGCTGTGCCATTAGCACTGACCAATAGCATTACCATTTAAAAATGCTAAGAGGCTGTCATTTTGCTTCCCTGGAGATCTTCAGAAATAACCTAGATGTTCGTCTGGAATCATCTTTTACAGAGTTCAGTTTAAGGGAAGAGGCATGACAAGACATTCTTGCTAATTTTCTTTTAGCCATACACATGTACATAAAGATACCTATATCTAAAGATATATATCTATAGTTAGATATCTGTATATAGTTTTTGCAGAGTCTCTGACTATCCATGCAACTATATATAAATACAGACATTCTCTTGTTCTTATGTCTTGCATTGCTTCATCAAATAACTAACAGCATACAACTGACCCATCACTTGTCAGCCTGATGCTGTCCTCCTACTTACCCTGTCCCACTCCACAGGACAGGACTTCCTAAACTGATGCTACACTGACCTAGGTTACTCAGCAAGATCAAGATTTAAAAAGTGACTTTCCACAGTGAGAAAATCCAAATCAATATACCTTTTCCCCTTTTATGTTTGAGAAATCAATTTTCGTTCTTAATAAATCACAGCATTTACCCTGTGGCCACGATGATATCCTTTAAATATTCTTTTTCCTAGTTTTGCTATTTATAGCTCCAAAATTGAATTTATATTTGTGATGACCAGTTAAGCATATGTAGCAGTTAGGGTGCAGTTTCGATTTGATTACTCCCCAAGGATTAATGGAGCACACTTCTGGGTGAGTGGCCACCAGCTCAGTGCCCACTATGTGGTCACTTCCCCCTGTTGCTCTGGCACTCTTCTTCTCCTCTGCTTCCTGACCATCACAAACTAAGCAGCTTTACTCGGCCACACCCTTCCACCACGATGTCTCTGCTGTGGAGCCAACCAATCATGGGCTGAAACCACAAGCAAATAGAGCCTCTTGTCCTTTAAATCATGGATGTTGGGTATTGTGTCCAAGCAATGAGAAAGCTGACAAATACAGAAAATTGGTATCAGAGAACTGGGGTTGTTACTTTCATTATACCTGGCAGCGTGGTTACACTCTGGAAAAAATTTTATCTCCATTTCTTCCATATCCTGAGACTATGCAGAAGACTGAGATTAAGGATGGTGAAATTATTCATCTGGTGGGAAAAATCTCAGGACAACCTCAGGCAGTGCCCTGTGCCTCAGGCTGTGGCGTGGGGACTGCTGCTGATTTTAGGCAGATTGATGGTGACAGTGGGGAAAAGGAACAGAAAGTTATTAAAAACTTAAATTGTGGCACAAAATGAACCACACGTAAAGTTGAAGCCAAAAGAGATGTCAATTACTTCTGTACAGGGAGAAGAAGAAAGATGCTGCAAATGTATTTCAGGAGTTAGTAAGAGCCCAACATTGCAGGCTCAGGGTACAAAAGTGTCAACCTTCATTTTTCAAAGACAATCCCTGGGAACTTTGCTTGATAAGAGACTCCTAGGGAATTGGTTTCTCAGGAATCATTTCACTGTGCTCAGCTATCCAAGCACTCAGAGGCTGGACAAGCCATGGTCTGAGTAGCCCTGGCTACTGCTTCTACTGAACTAGTTCTTGGCGTCATACACATGATTCCGGTTTTACTAGCATGCAGAATGCAAGAGTTATAGGGACAGGCAAGCTTCCACCCAGATTTCAAAGGAAATCCTGAGAGGCCAGGCAAGGAGTCTCTGAGAAGGCAGTGCAAGACGCTGGAGGAATGAAATCAAAGGTGCAGTGGAGACCTCAGGGAGTCAGAGATGCCAGCAACATGGAACAGCTGCCGAGGAAAGCAGGCCATGAAAGGAGCCAGTCCAAGAGAGAGGCTGTGTGTGCTGCACTAGGCAAGGCCGTAGGAGTGGTGCTGCCAAGTCCTTTAGAACTCACTTTTTACCTCCGAGTGTCCAGGATACCATGGGTGGAGCTACAGGACTGGTGGCTGCCTTGCTGGGTTTCAGTCTTGCTCTGGCTCAATTCTTTTCTATCCTTCCATCTCTCCCTTTTGGAATGGCAGTGTTTAACCTGTGCCGTTGTATCTTGGGATTATGTAACTTGATTTTGACTTTTACAGAGCTTCACCGTTTAGAGTTTGCCTTCAGTTTTAGAAAATACTTGAACTTTCACATAATTCTAGAACTTTTAAGACTTTATTAGAGTGGAGTATAGCCTTTCTGATTGTAAGTAGAATAATTATAATATGGTAGATAAAGTTATGAACTTGCTATTGTCTTTATTTGGAGATTAAGTATGGTTTTGGAGGGTGTTTGACAGCAAGTTGAAGAGGGGTGAGACCTGAGGGTGGTGGCACGCAACTTTATCTCCGTACTTGTGAGGCTGAGGTAGGAAGATCAACACAAGTTTGAGTTCAAGACAATCTTGGGTTACACAGTAAATTCAAGGCCACCTTGAACTACATAATGAGACCCTATTTCAAAAAAACCCCAAACAAACAAAAACAAAAAGGAGGAGGAGGAAGAGAAGTAGCAGCAGTGGTGGTGATGGTGTTGGTGGAAATGATGATGGTGGTGGTGGTGATGGTGGTGATGGTGCTGATGTTGTTGGTGCTGGTGATGGTGATGGTGGTGGTGGTGATGGTGGTGGTAGTGGTGGTGATAGTGATGGCGGTGGTGTTGGTGGTGTTGGTGTTGGTGTTGGTGGTGGTAGTAATATGAGAAGTTGTTGAGATGTAGCAGTTAAAGTTTCAACCAGATTGGCTCTGGATTATTCTCTGGGGATTGGTGATGTACACTCCTAGATAAGTCTGGGTGGGTCATGGGAAGATGGTCTTGGGGGTGCCTGCCTTGTCCCTCACCCGTTCTTCTGTAACTCTCTTCCCTTGTCACTCTTCCTGGATGCTGTGAACTAAGCAACTGATGCTTTGTTCCTCTGTATCCTTCTGCCATGGTACATTTGCCTTGGAACCAGCTGATCATGGACTGCGACCACCAGCAAAACTCTCCTCCCTTAAATTGTACATTTTGGACATTGTGTCTCAGTGATGAAAAAGCTGACCAATATAGGGTGGGATGTTTGAGATTTACAGTATACATTTACGTTACTCCATTATATTCTACAGTCTTGATTGTGGAATCATCTTTTTGTTATGGCTAAATATTCCATTTAAAGTTCATGGTATGATGATACAGGAAAACAATTTCCATGAAGTTGCTGATATCATTACTGATTTCCCCACTGGAATTCTTAGAGGCATGATGACAAGCCACTGGATGTACAGAATCTGGAGCTATGATTACGTTAGACATTATGTTTTCTATTTACTTGCTTACTTGGTAGTATTAAATGTTTCTAAATGTTGCCTTAGAATAAGATATATTTTGATTATATTCGGTTGTTAAAAACCTTGCAAAACTGCATTGATGATCTGAGGGTAGGAAGTGACTTCAGGACTCGTCACATGCCTTAGTTGGAAGTACTTGCTTCAGGTTGGACATAGTGGCACATACCTGTAATCCCAGTACTTGGGAGGCTGAAGCAGTAGGATCTTGGAGAGTTTAAGGCCAGTCTGGACTACATAGTAAGACCCTGTCTCAAACCCTACCCCTCCAAAAAAAGTGCTTGATCCGGGTGTGTGAGTACACGTTGTGAGAAATGTGACCTGTTTCCACTTGGCTCTTTTAAGACTTCAAGAGAAGCGGGTGGTAAGAACTAAGTTTCTAAAAGAGCATCGGTGATCTCTCTTAGATATCTAACATACAAATTTACATTACCACAAACCACTAATCACAGCTAAAGATAAAAATCACGGAGGGGTGGTTAAGGGCTGAGATTAAGAAGCTTTCCAGAGTTACTAAATCATAATCTGAGGTATAAAACCACGCACAGGCCTCTGCAACGCTTTGTGGTCGTACCTGTGTGTGCTTCCTCAGCTTTCCTAAGTGCGGTCTGGCTGGTATGAGGCATCCAAGACAGAAGTTCTGCAGTAATTGAGGAGTACCTGGGGCCTGTCCTATGGTCAACACACTCCAAATTTCTACAGGATGATGGAAGCGGATGGAGGGCAGAGCACTCTATACCAGCACGGCTGAGGCAGAATGGAGGTGGGAGTGAGTGTGGGAGGAAAGGGGCTGGAGGGAAGGGGCTGCCTTGGAGGGAGGGATCTGGGAAGAACTGTCAGGATGCACTTTGGGGTCAGGATAGCTGGTGCAGGGAGGGGAGGTGGGAGGCGAGGAGGTGAGGAGTCTGTGCCCCAAGTTTGTGCTGTTTCCAGAAGGGCTAAAATATGGCCCAAAACCATCCCTTCAAACTGACAGGGAGCACATGTTTAAGAAGACACTGTTAGGATCTAGTTTTACCTTTCTTGACAGGAGCACAATGGGAGAAGACTCCGAAAGAAAAAGGAGCAAGAGATGCTCAGCCAGATTTTCATGTGGGTTTTAACATCTAGGAGTCAGGTTTAAAGCACTTCAGGTTTACAACTGGTCTCCTTTATCATACCTCCTGGATTATACCATCGATTCATATGTGAGAAATTACCATATAACAAGGCGGTGAGAGCAGGACACAGGACACAGATCTGAGCAGTTAGGTTCACTTTCAATCTCCAGAAAATAGGATTTTCTGTGTTTATATCTCCCAGAGAAGCATAATTGTTACATGATATTTGATGACAGTTTGGGGAAAGGCAGCCACTGACTGCAGGCTAACTTACTAACGAGTTCCTTCTGGCTGTTGCCCGTGCCGGGTGAAAGGTTCCTTTTGTGTCTATCATATTTCACCTCTTGAGATTACAGAAACAATAAAATTAGCTTGACTGGCTCTACGACCTCAGAATGATTTAAAGTCCGCTTGTTAATCTTGCACATATTTGGTTGGTTTCAGCAAAAATGATTAAAAATATATATAATCTTGTGGGTTATATTTTGGTGAAAGATCAAAGCTGATAATACAATAAAATGTTACTGCCAAACAATGACTTGAAAATATGCAAGCCCCATATATTGAAATAATTTGGTAGTGCATATGGGCATCATATGGGCTATATAACCAAAGCACATTCCCACCACTTTAGAATTTTCAGCTCTAACATTTTAGGTGTAAATATATTACCTTGGCATAGTGACATAACTGTAGGTAAGTATGATCAATTGATGACAGTAAAACACCTAAGAAGTTTTAGTAACTCTACCCTCCCTAGACATAAAGGATAAATGATGTATGTACGGCCTTATACAGAGACAGTTCCTACAGGTAGAGATCAATTGTCTGTCAAAGGTGTTCGGATATTTATATATTGTTCCTGCATCTGTTGTTTTCCACCTGCTCGTAAAGTTCCAGGCTTGACTTGTAACCAAGAGCCTAACTGAGGGGCCATAAGTAATGTTTTCAAAGCTCATTTGTTTTTGACTGGAAGTAACAATCTTTCGATTCAGGTGATCATGGGAACGGGCTAGAAACACAACCATCTGAACTCGGAGGCATTTGTCACGGTGGGAAGAAGCTGCAGCCTTTCCCCCGCACTCTCAGCTCCTGCCCAAGCTCAGCAGTCACTAAAGCTCATTTGCCCCTTCTTCCCTATTAGGCAAGAAAGGAAGAGAAGGTGTCTTCAAAGCAAGTGAAGAGAACCGTACCAGTACGGTTTCACTAGCTGAGTTCCAGGAAGCTGTCTTCCAGAACTCCTGGGAAGAATTTCGGTTTTAAATCACCAGGGCTCTCCATGAAAGCCCTTCACAGTTCTGGGGCTTGGAACTGGAAAATGTGGAGACAAACAAGAACCTCAAGGTCAGGACTACGAGATGCTCACCAAGACCTGCTGACCCTTTGCCAGCCCTTGTCTCATGGCTCCCTCCTTTTGGACAGCATGAGAACACCGCGGCTCATTTACTCTTACATTTTCAAAGGTGATGGAAGACGCCAGTTAAAAACCTCCGTAACTGTCACGGTTTAGGAAACAATTGTGGGAAATGACTTTTCACCAGTGAGGTATGAAGTTATCTGGGTGTGGAGCATCAACAAACCTACAGTGGTCACTGCGGACTGGGGAGGGCCATTTGGCAGACGATCAGTCAGTGCTTCCTTACCTAGCGAGCCCCTCGGGAGAAGGCGTGGGAGAGAGCGGCAACAAATCCACATGTACTTCCCACAGTGGTAAGAAAGTCCACACTCTTGAATTAATTTATTTCTTGCTATCATCCCTTTTATAACACCTGAAATAGAGGATCACTGAGGGGATATGCTCGTTAGCTTGCTTTAATCTTTCTAAACTGTCTAGTACTTCAGAACAGCATGTTGGACCCCATGTACACATACACATTTACTAGCTGCCAAACAGGTCACTTTTAAAGTCACTGAAGGTACTTTTGTATCAACATGGAATCTACCTAAGACCGGGCGAACATACATGGAAACATTTGACCTTAGCTAAGTAATATTAATAATGAGAAGGCGTCGGGAACTGTCTGTGTGCTTACAGAAATGTGGCATGATAAAAAGACCATCGAAGGGAGCAGAGCCTGCGCATCCTGACCTCTGCCCCTCCCTCACTGCGAGACCTTGAACGAGCCACTCTGCTCTTGGTTTCCTCATTGTAAAATGGAGTGGAGTGTGACTTTGATCATTAAAGCCTCTCCCAGCTCCAGCTACTGTATACACTGCGCTGATTTCTCCTTTGTTTGGAAAACCAGCTGCGTAGACTGGAGGGGCTCCAGCCTGCTCTCAGAAATAGCAGAACGTTCTGCACCTTGGGTCATGGCTCACACTGCACGCAGAGGCAAGGGTTTCGATAAACATCCAGAGCGACAATCAGAGCTCCCAGCGAAAGCACAGGCATTAGTTGTGTTGGCCGCTCACTACCGACAGGCCTAGAGCCACTGAGGCCGAAGGACAAATGCAAGTGTGTTTCATCCACGGTGCCTCTCTTCCCACCCCTGCTCATCATTCTTGGAAAGGGGCAATCACATGACAGCCTCGTGCAGGGAGAGGAGACAGAAAAAGGACAGAAGACGGCCGGGGCCAGAGCCGGGCGCCCTGCTTACCTCCTCCACATGACTGGGAGCACTTGGTGAACCCCTCATATGCCCAGTCATACAGCACATCGAGCTCCTGCAGGCCTCCCGAGAGCCTGTCTGCGCCGTCCGTGTTGAATTCCGGAATCTCTCCGTTGCACGGTCCTGCATAGCAGGCACGCTGGGATGCCGGCTTGGGCCCTTCACACTCCTCCACAGGCAGGTCAGCCACGGACTGGGAGAAAGACAGGAGCACCTGGCACCTGACTATTCGCACCTGGATCCCCACACCACACGTCACCGTGCAGGCCGACCAGGCCTCTGGGATGAACCTGCAGTCAGCAAGCAAACAAGAGGACAGGATGAGAAGCCCCAGGCGGGAGAACACGGGGGTTGTGGCGGGCCGCATGGCACCTGCCTCACTTCCCAGAGCCGTCCCAGGGTGTGTGCAGGGCTCCTCTGCCCGGTCCTGGTGACGGGAGCTTCAGTTTAGTTCGGCAGCTCACTGGCCCCTGATTCTCGATTCTGATCTGTGAGTGTCACATGAACTCCCAGCTGCGAACATTCCAGCCACAGGCCACCTGCTCCTTCTCGCCCTGTTCCCACATGGTTGCTCTTTGGAGCAGGGAGTTGGTGGTTCTCAGTCTAAATCCCGGCACTTGTGTCTCTTACAGGATGCTGGGTATTCTTACAGCAGCCTAATACTGACATAAAAACTAAAACAAAATCAGCCCTGGAAGATATTTCAGGAAGTTTTCCTTTTAGGCCAGCTCTCACATTCTGTAACTCTCTACTCTTCTGCCCAGTGTGCTCCCCAAGATTGATTTATATGTATAAGGAGGACTTTTTTTTGTAAGTTTCCAAGAAGGGCACAATCTCGTTCCTCACACATTCTTTGAATTAGTCTGAACTCCAGTTCTTTTATATTGGAGAGAAAAGCCATGCTGCAAATTTAAACCCACAGGAGTGTCACGATAAATGAGGGCATTTGTACCCACACCAATCGGTCCACTTTCCTCTTCCTCCCACCCCCTGAGAGAAGCTACACTAGAAACAACTTGTTTTTCCTTGGAGTTTCTCTAGAATGTAGGAAAATATCCAAGTTTAAAACAAAGCTTTTTCTTCCTATTAGTCAACAATGGCCCTAACTGCAATGACCTTGTGAGGGACCTAGGGAGAAAAGCCCCAAGGGAACCACTAAGATCTTCAAACAGTATAATAATTTGGAGAAAAAACTTTGGGATAAAACTTTATTTTTCCATGTTCCTATTGCTTTCTCGCAGGGAGTTTTGCTGTGGGGGCAAGTAAACCTGACCTTTTAACCCTGACTTCCGCAGAACAGGAGCGAGTGATGAGGGCTACAGTCCTGAATCCTAGCAAGTGCAAACGGCTCCTGTCTAGTTCAGGGAAACAGAGATTCTAACAGCAAACGAATCCAACTTTTCACACTGGAAAGAATACTACAAGGATGTTTGCTGGGCCTGAGCCTGGGCTACACGGACAGCAGAGGGGGCCTGGCAGGAAAGACAGCTTTCTACAGAGCACACACGGCTGAGGCCCCGCAAGCACCCCCTCGAAAAGGCCCTGACCCTGGCTACCTCTGAAGAGCAAGCCCAAAAGGAGTCCCAAGAAAGTTTCACCACAATTTTGCCAGTGTTCGCTCCCTCTTGTTTTTGACTTCTTTATCTTTTGGCATACAGGCAATGTGGGGGAAATAATATCCTAAAAAGACTGAAGTCTGCTCTCTTTAACTGAGCACTTTGGAAGTAGAAAACCAAAACCTACAATCAAATGATTTTAACTCTTTCATTGCACATTCCTGTACAGCTGCCCAGGTCCTGGAACAAGAATCACGAGCAAAACACAGCACTGGATTTTACAACACAGGTGTAAACGTAAAAGAAAATGCATGTTCGGCTATTTTGTATATCAGGAAGACATGAAAGAAAATGATTAGGCTGCAAGCTTTGACGATAGTGTAATGAATAATGCGTCTTTAATAATGTAGGAACTAAATTAGTTTTTCAATAAAAAGGATGGCAAGATCTCCAAAAGAACTGCATCCTGTTCGGTTTTCCCAAGTGGTAAGGATTACTGTCCAATCGCTTGTAACAGACCTCTTTGTAATCAGCACCACAAAATGGAACCCTACGAGTTAGATTTCTTTCCTTTAGAACCAAATGGCTTCTCCAAACTTCCAGGGGCCAAGGCCATAAATAGTTACTCTCACCTCGCTTCAGCCCAGATGAATGGACTGAAAATGCAGGCTCTGGCACCAGGAGGTCCAGTCCAGCTTCATTCTCTTAGGCAAAGAGGGAGAGGTGTGGGTCCTGGAGGGGACGGCAGCCTGAGCATGTCTGTTATTTTGGTGTGTTTCCACTGCTCTTTGCTACAGCAAACCCTGATGCACTTGTCTGTGGAAATGGTGACTTGAGGTAAATGACCCTTCTACCTCCTTGGGGTTAGCTTTGAATAAATCCTCTTTCCTTCTACAGAAATGAATGGCCTCTTTTGGTTTCATCAGTGGTGAGCAAATGGACCTGCAAGTAGGAAACTATTACACAATAGAACAAGGGTCAATAAAGTTTTTAGTAAAAGGCCAAATAGAAAATATTTTAGGTTGTGCGGGCCATGCAGTCTCATTGCAACTACATGTTGTGCCTTCTTGGATGATATAAGTAAGCAGATGCATAGGGCTGTGTGCCAATAAAGCTTTAGTTACAGAAACAGGGGCGGAGGTGCTGGGATGGTGATGGAAGAGTCTAGTTTGGCCCGTGGGCCGTAGCTTTCAGTCTCTGCTGTAGAACATTTAGAAAAGATTCCAAACACATCTGGATTCATAGATACTCCCTCAGACTTATCTCTTTCCACATGTATAAACTTATAGAACAAATCGCCAAAGTTATTTATGGTTTATCTTCCAAAGTGAATTCTGGGTAAAGCCTAGAATATAAATGATACACAGACTGGGCCCTCCGTTCTCCTTGCCTGAAACATGCATGATCACCCTTAGTCTCTTTCCAGAACCTGGATGACAACACCAAAAGCACACACAGGGGGAAAAACATGCTCCTGACACTCCAGGAACCTGCTGTAGTGGCTGAAATGTATTTTTTATTCATCTTTTTATTGGTACTTGTATGTGGTACCTAATGCTTACATTTATCCTGTGGAGTTGGTACGTGTACATAACACGTCTTAATTCTGTTTTCTTCCCCTATCCTCCCGCCCCTCCCTGTCCCAATTCTTGGACCCCTTCCCATTTACAAAAGCTCGATTGCGGTTTTTTTCCAATTGCTTTCTTTCCTTCCCTTTTCTCTTCCTTCCATTCCCTCTCATCTCTTGTTCTCTTTCCCATATGAGAAAGGTCTCCCTACTGACTAGTATCTACCTTTTACTTTATCCTTTGATTATATTTTGGGTTTCTTATAAAAGAAAAACCATGTGATATTTAAACTTGTGTGTCTGACTCATTCCATTTAACATTATGGTCTCCAGGTGCACCCGTTTACCTACAAATGCCTCAAGTTCATCCTTCTTTGTGGCAGAGCAGTGCTCCGCTATATATAAATACCACATTTTCATTATCAAATAATCTGCTGTTGTTCATGTATTTCCAATCTAGCTATGATAAATTGTGTTGCTATAAACATGGGTATGCATATATCACTGTAATATGTGGACTTTAACTCTCTCAGGAAGATACCCAGCAGGAGAATAGCTGGGTCAAATGGAATTTCTATTTTTAATTTTTTGAGGAGTCTCCCTACTACTCTCCATAGGCTTTCGGTCCCACCAGCATTTGTTATTATTTGATTTCCTGATGATGGCCCTTATTTCTGGATAAGGTGGTGTCTCAGTGTTGTTTTAATTTGCATCTCTCTGATGGCCAGTGATGTTGAATACACCGGAGGAAAGACAGCATCTTTGATAAATGATGCTGAGAAAACTGAAGATCCACATGTAGAAGAATGAATCTAGACCCCTATATTTCAACGTGTACTAAACTAAAATCAAACTGGATAAGAGATCTAAGTGTTAAAACAGAAAGACTTAGTCTGCCGGAAGATGCCTAGGTAAAGCTCTTGAAGACATGGGCATAGTCAAGGACTTTCTGTATAGAACCCCAGTGGCACAAGAAATAATACCAAGAATCGACAAATGAGATCACATCAAATTACAAAGCTTCTGCACATCAAAGGAAACAGCCAACGGAGTGAAAAGACGCATACAGAATGAGAAATAAATTTGCCAGGTACTCCTCACATAGAGGACTAACAACTAGAATATAAAAAGAACTCAAAAAAATTAGACTCCCTCAGAAAAAGACCCAATCAAAAAAATGAACAATCAAAATAAATAAACACTTCTCAGGAAGAAGTACAGATGGTCAATAAATACATGAATCATATTGATTTTAAAGCAGCATATCTGAACAAAAATTGTGTGTGTGTGTGTGTATATGTGTGTGTTTGTATTTCATTTAGGGTTAATAGCAAAAACAATAAACTCTGCTTTATGTCTCCCAGACAAGAGTCTGATCAAATGGAAAGCAGCTTCCCTGGCATCTCCCAAGCCACTATCCACAGGCCTTCCTCAGTTTCACACCAATTAAAAACAATTTGGTTTTTAAGTGGCTCTGGCTCTTGGCAGTTGTCTTAATTCGTCCAGTGCACTCGACGTATAATAAGTGCACTCGAGTATAATACATTCTCTATTGTTGAAGGCAGGAGATTACATTTCAAAAGAAAAACATCTGATAGTGCAAATGACTAAGTGAAAAATAACTGTTTTATATAGGAAGCTTTTCCCTGTGTCCCTAGATCTCCCAACTCTGTATTTTCTATCTTGATTTTTCTGGCCACAAGTGGGAGGAAGCCAGGCCAGGGAGAGGGCAGGCAAGTTAGAAGCTTAAATTTCATGTTTAGATGTCTCATCTTGAATAGCACTTTCTGAGCCCAAGCCTTTCAAGTGGTTCCTATAAAACAGAGTGTAATCATTTATGTTTCTTAAATCAGTATATGAACCCTAATTTAAAAGTTTTCTGTTAGCTGCAGAATTGTCAGATGAATGACGGCTGGTAAAGTGGGTTCTTTAAGAGATTGGTGTAAACTTCAGAAGCAATGGTGTGGTTTCTATATTTAGTTTTCCTGTCTGTAGGAAAAAGCCACACCTGGGAAGTAGATGGTCTATGCTTCAGTCTGGTATTCCACTTGCAAATTTATCTGTGCATTTCATTAACAAAATGTCTGTGCTTAGAGTATTATCACAGTCCACTTTAAGAAATAGAAAACAGTAACAATCAAATTCACTCATAAAATCCCTAAGTGGC